ACATACAAGTACCATAAATAATAAGTACAATGTACTTATGTAAACATATATATATATATATATATATATGTATATATATATATATATATATCTATATATGCATGTATATATATGTATCTGTATTGCATTGCCCTATCTGCAGTCTGGCGGCATGCCGCTGCTCAATACCTACGCAGATGATAGTATATATATTATATACTTTGAATTGGCATAGACAAAGTAAATATGGCGATGCTACTTGAGTTTTGACACAGTTCGAATTCATTTCGAATGTGCTGGAAGTCGAGGCACTCAAATGTGCTTATCGATTATCTATTGAGGTATACGAGTAGTACTTCTGCTCCGACATATGTATGTATGTATATCTACACTTGTACTCTGTGTATACATAACCATCAAGTTCTGAAATTGATAAATTGATCAGAGTCGCATTGTTGTCAATGTTTGCCAAGTTCTGGATTGCCAGTTAACTGGCATTTATGCCAAGACGTCCCAGCTCAAGTGTCTGAAGGCTGGTCGCTACATACATCTATCTATAACTATGCATATACTTGGATCAATAAGTTGGCGGCTATGATAACTTCACTATGACCAGAGCTTGTTTTTATTTGCTGCTCTAAGTCTAGAAATGTAGAAAAACAAACAACACCAAAAATTTGATTTATATTTTTGAACTTAACCTGTGCATTGTTCTCAAACGCTAAGCACATTGAATATCTGTACAAAGGGTGTGATGTTTTTGTGCAGAGGAAAGCATCTACAACCTCATAAGGTAACATACATATATTCTTCAGGATGAAGAGCTGAGTTGATCTAGCGGTGCACGGTACACTGCAAGACCTAGAAACTATAAATTTAGAACATGTGTTTCAATAAGATCGGACTATAAGCACCGATTCTATTCAAGAATACATACTGCGCAGCAGGCGAATATGTTTTTCTGCGTGTGCATGTGTACAAAGAAGCTAGAATATTGGTGAAGATAGCTCGGCGCGATGTTCAGGGTATCTTCGAGTTATGCACTGCCGACTAGCGCACTCTTTACTGTTTTTTTTTTTGCGCCGCAATAATTTACATTATCGTATTGGAGCGAAAAGAAAAGTGTGAGCAATAATTATACTTTGTGTATTATGTATGCCGCTTAAAAGTATCTTAGCTTAGCAAGCAGTAGCGCTGCTATTGAAAGCTGCCTGTTAAAGGGTTTTGCTATGTTAACTTAACATTGCTCTCTGCTGTGCTATGGGGCGCTGCTGCTAGTTGCTGGTTGCATGAATACATTTTCTGCAACATGCGCAGTATGCGTTTGGAAAGAAGACTTGCAGACGTTTTCGTGTTTTACTTATGCGTTTATGAATTTAATTAATCTCTGCGAATGTAAGCTTCGGCGTGCTGTTATTAACATTTATTTATCAGGTTATGTTGCATGTCATGTTAACTAACGAAGGGCATGTAATCCTGTAAGAGTTTGCTCGTCAAGTGTTATCTTATATACTGTCTTAGATATATATATTATTATTGAAGCATAGATACTTATATCCATTTATCATCAGTGCAATTCTAACAAAGTCGTTGCCGTATAACATAATATTTAAGAACCGCTTTGTTTTGTTTACAGAAAATAATTCGTTAATATCTAAGCTATCAATTTAGACCATTGACTTTCTAATTTTAAAAGATTGCACGTTTCGCATATTATCAAGATTTGGCGCATGTTTAGACCACGCGTCGGCTACCTTGATAACCTTACCTGAATGATCGAAGTGTTGTATCAGCAAAATCGTCTCGGAAACAGCGACTGATCCCAGTTCCTACTACAGTGCGCAATCTTTAAGCTTCAGGCCCAAGGTCATCAGTAGTTCAATGCGCTGCTTGCCGAAAAAAAATAAGAAAAATTTTTATACAATTTGGTACGTCATGGTGTGCAGAGACCGAAAACGGGCGCTTATCTGTGATGTGTATATTCATAGTAGTTTAGCAGCTCGTACGCCTCACCAAAGTCCATGAAACTAGACGGTAGCCAGACTCTGGGCGCTACAAATGGAAAGATAATAATACGATGCCGTCTCAAACTCATTGATATACAGTCGTTCTCATTTTATTTTTGGGTTTATGTTGTCTATTAAGATGGATGTGCGTGTTTGTAGTGCGCTTTGTTTAAGCACGTAGTTGTTCGGAATGAGAAGCACTGAGAAGGGCGCTATTCGCTTGGCGCAGCATAACTGATCAACATAGCGGCACGAACTGGTTTCCCATTGCACTTTGGCTGCATTGTCTGGCCACAAATGACGTAATTTGTCATTTGTTGATTTCTTCATTAAAGAAATGCGAAATTTCATTGAGTAATTAACAGACCAACAACAATCAAAACAAAGCAATTCAGTGTAAATGTCATGCATTCGTTTATATGATAGCCGCCTTAAATACTCCGCTTCTACCCTCACCGGCGGCACTGGGCTTGTGTTGTTGTGCGGCCCCCGAAAAAAAGCAGCTATCAAGGTCATCAGTATATGTCGCAATCTCACATGCATATGCACACACGCACACACATGACACAGGTTATCTGCTTCAGGGTCTTAAATAATGTGCCATTCGGTTATACTAAATCTCGTGGCATGCACTTAGTGCATTAATTGTAGTCTGGAAATCTAACTAATGATCTATAGACCGAAAATTCATCGGCTAGAAAGTGTAAAGAAAATCAACAAATATTTTATACGAATCGATAATTATCGATTCAAATGCATTTCCAATTCAAACAGATGTTAATGTGTCTTTCTTCTTCTTTAAGATTTTATCTTGAATAAATAAGTTATTAAATATCCGATCAAATTTATTAAATTTGTTCCGGTATCCCGCACTGCATTTTAATTCTCTGTTGGGATTGTCTGAGTCCAAGTTCCGACGTGCAATTTTGTAACCAAGAAAATTGAAATATATTGTCACTATCGGCCAGGTGTGGTTCAAGGTATTTGCAAAAGTTACCAAGCGTATTAAGCTGACAGCTGATAAGCTCTAAGAAGAAGTTCATAATGCAACACGTGCACAACCGTTTTAACTATACAAGAACATAAACCCACACCTATAGGTATACCTCTATCTAGAAGTCCATATTTCGAGACAACTTTCTAAATCTCTATCTATATCTATATCTATATCTATATCTATAGCTATATCTATATCTATATCTATATCTATATCTATATCTATTATCTATATCTATATCTATATCTATATCTAGATCGATATCTATACTATAGCTATATCTATATCTATATCTATATCTTATATCTATATCGATATCTATATCTTATAGCTATATTATATTATATCTATATCTATATCTATATCTAGAGCGTAGATCTATAGCTATATTATAACTATATCGAATCTATATCTATATCACTAGCTATTATCTATAGCTATATCTAATATTATATCTTAGCTATATCTATATCTAGATACTATCTATCTATATCTATATCTATATCTATATCTATATCTATATCTATATCTATATCTATATATCTATATCTATATCTATATCTATATCTATATCTATATCTATCTATATCTATATCTATATCTATATCTATATCTATATATATATATATATATATATATATCTATATATATATATATATATATATATCTATATCTATATCTATATCTATATCTATATCTATATCTATATCTATATCTATATCTATATCTATATCTATATCTATATCTATATCTATATCTATATCTATATCTATATCTATATCTATATCTATATCTATATCTATATCTATATCTATATCTATATCTATATCTATATCTATATCTATATCTATATCAGAGCTATATCTATATCTATATCTATATCTATATCGATAGCTATAGTCTATATCTATATCTATATCTATATCTATATCTATATCTATATCTATATCTAGATCTATATCTATATCTATATCTAGATCTTATCTATATCTATCTATATCTATATATCTATATCTATATCTATATCTATATCTATATCTATATCTATATCTATATCTATATCTATATCTATATCTATATCTATATCTGTCTTTGTTCAGCTATATATATCTATATCTATCTTTGTTCAGCTATATATATATGTATATATATATATCTATATCTATCTTTGTTCAGCTATATATATATGTATATATATATATCTATATCTATCTTTGTCTAGCTATATATAATATAAATATATACATATATAAATTTATACATATATTTAGTTTCTTCTCAACGTGCTTGTGCCAAAGTCTTGATGAGTTCCGGTTAGTTGCCTTTTCAAATACATATTTCTATACTTCTATAAATGTATATACATAAATATATATACTTATACAATCGGAATCATGTGCAATAGCCAAAAAATAAAAAAATAAAATACATCAGCACAGCATCCCGTGAAATTTCGCGATTGTCTATATATGTACTTGTATATGTTGAGGATCAGGTACACAGGTCTGACATGTTTCTCATTTGATTGGATCCAGCTCCACCTATAGCTATATAGCGCGACGTTATTCGAATACGAGCTGGACATTAGTCGCATGCATTCGTATAACTTGGTTCTGGGTATCTTAGTTGATGACTGCGGGAGGATGCGGGTCGAGGAGCACGGGGTCTTATGTGCGTGGCGTCGCGACCACTCGACGATTTATTAGATAGATTAATTCGCAAATATTATGATTATAACGCAACAGTTCAGTGAGACTGCATATCATATACCATGAACATCTCTACATAAGTACGAGTACCTATTTTATATATATGTGTATATACATGAACGTACCTAGGTGTATATGTGTATATATATGTATAGGGCCGACCATATCATGTGCATTAGACTTAGCGCGTATCGATTCGCGTACCCGATGTCGGCACGAAGTTGATGTCGAGCAAACTTTGATAAGCACCGCGTCAAAAAGTCGATAATCAGACTTATATTTAGAGAAGTCGCCTGGCCCGGTCACAGTTTTCCAAGCGACACAGACCAAGGCAGCGGGCTCAACGCGACCATTCGGCGGATATACAGGATATACCCTAGACAGCACTGTTAAAGCTTACAGGCGACAACGGCTCGACAGGCTTTAAGGATTTAAGTCTGAGGCCGTGGCATATAGGCATTTAGGATTTGGCGAGCGTGCAACATGAAGCTGGAAGGCGAGAAGCGCACCAGCGAGCCCCCCAAATATCTGAACGAGGACTTCTTCAAGGCCGCTCTCGAGGATGGGCTGCGCGACATGCGTGTCGACATCAAGAAGATCATATTTTCCGAGTCCAGCGGCGGCGGCGGCGAAAATTATTGCAGCAAAATCTACCGGGCCCGTGCCCTGTATCGGAGCAGCAAACGCCAGCTGGACGAGGAGCTGGCACTGATCGTTAAGAGCATTGCCATTACGCCGGCTACACAATTCCTTGAGGAACTGGCCGTTTATCTGCGCGAGAAAATCTTCTATTTCGATGTGCTCGGCAAGCTGGAGGTGCTCATCGGCGATGGCTCCAAGTTCGGCGCCAAGTGCTTCTACACAACGCGTGAGCCCATCCAAACGATTGTTTTCGATGACCTCACACAGTACGGCTACAAGCTGGCCAGCCGCCAAAACGGCCTCAACGAGGAGCACTGCGTGGTCATACTCAAGAAATTGGGTAAATTTCATGCCAGCTCCATGCTGCTGGCCGAGAAGGTAAGTACGCCCAAATGGCTCACAATCTCTGACTATCTACATTGAAGGCGTTTGCCATTCAACAGGAGCCTAGCGTGCGGGAGCATTTCACCAGCGGCATGCTCGATGAGAACTATATACGAACCAACGAGCGGTTCATTAACTTTATGACACTCCAGCTGAGAACGCTGGCCAATGTGGTGGCAAAGTGGGCCGGCTACGAGCAGCTGGCGGATAAGCTGCATCGCCATTGCGACAATATCAAGGAGAACCTGGTGATGACGGGCCGGCCGACGCCCGGCGAAATCACAGTGCTTAATCACGGCGATCTGTGGGTGAACAACTTCATGTACAAATATCACGACGAGCTGCCCACAAAGCCCATCGATGCCATCTTCGTGAGTGTCCAGCCAATTGGCATTGGCCAGTGCGAGTGCTAAAGAATCCGTTTGCTTGCAGGTGGACTTTCAGAACAGCTTCTTTGGCAGTCCCGGCTGCGATATCAATTTCTTTCTCAACAGCAGCGTCCAGCTGGATGTGCTGATTCACAGGCGCGAGTTCCTTATACAGACGTACTATGCCTCACTCCGCGAAAGCCTAGAGCGGATGCATTCACAGTTTGTGCCCAGCTATGCGGACTTGCAGCAGGAGATCCATGCACGGGAGCTGTATGGGTTCTTCTCGTCGTACGCATTTCTGCCCATGGTCACCATGATGAAGGAGGACTCCTTTGACATAAGCATTGAGGCACTTACCGATCAGGATTTCGCCAAGAAGAAGGTGCAGCTGATGTTCTCATCAAATCCACGCACCGCGGATACCCTGCGCTATGCACTCCGACGATTCGACGAGCTGGGCATCTTCGACTGATGCGAATGCTTAATTTATATTTATAACTTGCATGTGGTTATCTATATTTTTTATTTTCGTACGGCTAGGATATATGTTGATTTTTTTTTTAATTTAAAAAAACATTTTTTTTTTTTATGTATTTTATATAAGCGCATTTGTCTATTTTTATATATATAAAATATGCTTCTTTCTATGCAAGCCGCATGTTTCAATTGGTTCTCCTAAAACTCCCACGTCGCCAGCCACTTGAGGTTGTGCATCGTGGAGTTGGGCTCATTTGCCAGCGGCCCGCTCATCCCATAGGCCAGCGGGGAGAAGAGCACAAAGCTATAGACAAGCACCGAGAGCAACGTGCCCAGCAGCACATGTTGCAGCCACCTTGGTAGCGATCGTATAATGTAGTTGAACATAATGCCTGAAAGGAGAGCACAGGACAAATGGGCTAAAATATAAAAGCAAAATCTAGGAGTTTTCAAAAGAGAACCAAATATAAGCCAGATGGCTGAAGAGTTTTCTAAAAGAGATCACACGGTATTCGAGTTAAATTATTAGAGCAAAGTCTGAAGAGCTTTCAACAAAAGCTTGGGGGACATTCGAGTTATAGTATAAGAGGGAAGGCTGAAGAGTTTTTTAAAAAAGATTGCAGGATATTCGAACTTAAATATAAGAGCAAAGTCTGAAGAGAAGTCCAAGGTCTGAAGGTATTACCAAAATCGAACACAGGATATTCGAGTTAACATATTAGGACAAATTCTAAAGTTTTCTAGAAGAGAACACAAAACATTCTGGTTAAGATATAAAAGCAAAAGCTGAAGAGTTTTCTAAAAGAGAACACAGGTCATTCGAGCTTAAAAGTTTTCTACAAAAGTTTAAGGGACATTCGAGTTATAGTATAAGAGCATAGGCTAAAGAGTTGTCTTAAAGAGATCATAGGGTATTCGAGTTGAAATATACGATCAAAGTCTAAAGATTTTTCTAAAAGAAAACAGAACATTCGAATTAAAAGAACTAAAAAGGACGTGTTTTCTACAAGAGAATACGAGACATTGGGGTTAAAATATAAGAGAAAAGTTTAAACGGTTTTTAAAAGCGAACAGAGGACATTTGAGTTTTAGCATAAGAGCAAAGGCCGAGGAGTTTTCTAAAAAAGATCACAGGACATTCCAGTTATAAGAAGAAACAAAATGCTCCAGTCGGTAATGACCGACTGCCAGAAACCCTGTGCCACTAAGATCCTTTTATATGGAAAATGAAAATGGGTTTCGAGTCTTTGCAATATGCTATGAAAAAGTTTTCTAGCCGAGCTGCTCTCGTTCTCCGAGGCTTAGAAAGAGTTAAGCACATTTCCTTCATTACACTTAGCCCCGATAGCCAGGCACTTACCCGTGAGTAAAGAGTTGAAAATTAATGCCGGGAAATAGTGATGAAAGTAGAGTACTCGACCCATGGCCCAGAAGGGCAAATAGTGCAGCAGCCAGCCGATGAACAGCCAGGCAGCTGCCCGCAAGGACATGGCCGAGTCACTCAGTCCAGTTGTGGCCGTGTCCTCAGCTGATTTCTGCTGATCGCTGCCAGCTGGACAGCAGCTGCACAGTTCGGTTGTGGCAGCCAGCTCCTCGGGCTGGCCAGTGGCCTGGAGAGCCGCTTGGCCGGCACGGCGCTGCTCCAGCACGGCGTTGTACAGGAAGACGACGACGAAGAGCAGCAGAAAGATGAGATTGCTCCACCAGATGACGGGATTGCCAAGCAAATAAATGCGATAGCTGGTGCCAGAGAAAAATTGACCCTTGATAGAAGTATGAATGAAAAAGAATGGATTTAAGATTTCAACTTAAGTTAAGTGCTTAAGTGCTTAAGTTGCATAGTCTCAGAATACGTACCCGATAGTTAATGGGCCATTGCCAGGGCTGGCTTGTGATCTCACCCTCCTTGGGCTTGAGGCCAGCATTGCCCTGGAGCATGACCGCATGGGACTCAAGGAAGCGTGCAAAGAAGCCCGGCGCATAGATGCTAAAGCTAACACTGGGCACTGCAACAGAGATCGAGAGAGAGATTGAGATTGGCATCATTGTGGATTAGTTATAGAGCTGTCTGCTTACAGAGCTTGTGCTGGTTGTCCTCCACGTTCCAGTGGGCATTCTTGTCGCGCACGTTTAGATTGCAGGAGACCTCCTGCTGCTCAAAGCCCCATTTGGGCAGCTGCTTGCCACTGGACGTGAGCGCACAGTTCTGCAGATAATGGACGAACATGAGCCGTGAGGTGACCGTGTGTATGGTCTCATTGGGCTTGCCACCCACGATGAGCACGCGCCAAACATCGTTGGCATCGCCCACGCCCAGCTGCCGCCGCCCGAAAATAAGAAAAAAGTTAATCCTGAGCAGGAGCTAAGGTTAGGCTAGTTGCTTACCTCGCCGTAGCCGGTCACCTGGAGGTGTTTCTTGGTCATGGGCGCCGGCTCGCTGTGCGAGTGCAGATTGCGCTTGGTCACCAGATGCTCCAGGCGCAGCAGATCGCCGTGTTGCAGCAGACGCAGCTCGTCCTTGGGCAGGGCTGGCTTGTTGTACGGCTTGATCAGCCAGATGTTGTTGTCATCCTTGTGCGTATAGGTGGTGATCTGTAAGAGGAGTCAATCTTATTGATGCCAGCCTCTCTCAGCTTGCATGTGTCCGCTCACCTGCTGCTGACGAGCGCCGCTGCCCTTGGGATAGAGATGGGCGTGCGAGTGGAGATAGCCGCCGCCAGTCTTGTGGTTCTTGATGGTCACCAACGAGCCGTAGGCCACGTCTCGCGGCATACTCGCATTGTACAGCGAGTTGCCAATGAGCCGAGACTGAAACGCCGAGCTGTAGAAGCCATCCCCGTTGCCGCTGCGATTCAGCACGCTCAGATGTATGTAGAAGAAGAACGTGTACAGCAGTATGGGCCAGATAATGAGCGCCACAGCGCGGCACGCTATCTGCTTGCCCGTCTCCACAATGGGCTTGCGCAGATCGCCTAGTATCAGCCAGAGCTCGCTTGCTGTATGCAAACCCACTAGCAGCACCACAAACAGGCCCACAAACTTAACGCTTATCGTGCAGGAGAGCATTGTCCCGGTGAGCAGCAGCCATAACCACCAGCGTGCCGTATAGGAGCCGCCCGCGGCGGTGCACTTCGATATCTTGACCATGCCCCACACCGAGCCCATCATGAAGAACAGCAGTATCGGATCCAGCAGTATGTACTGATTAAGCGTCAGCATGCCCACATCTGCAAAAAGAGCGCGAGCACTTGATAAGATTGGGTTTGCTGCGATGATCTACTCTACTTGCCAAAGATCAGATAGGCGGCCGAAAGCAGAGCCGCTTCATGGGAGCGCGTCAGATCGTAGACGGTATCGAAGCCCATGGGCATGATGAGTGCGCCCAGCGTTGTGCAGAACTGCAAGGCAACAGATTAGCTGGCCAAGTGGCACAAA